CATTATTCTATTCTATTCTATTCTATTCTATTCTATTCTATTCTATTCTATTCTATCTAATACAATCTAAGTCATTAATTTGACAGTGTTGTGGAAATTAGCAGAGTGATGGCATTCAGGAAAAAAAAAATGTCCTTGTGTTTGGCTCTTTGGGGCCCTTTTCACTGCCCCATACCAGAGTCTATTCTTGGGGGAAGAACCCTGAACTGCTCATAGCTGCCCTTGATTTTCCCTCCTCCATTACCTGGGGCAAAGGTTGTGGTGGGGGGAGCGTAGCAGGGGACGTGACTACATGACGGGTGCTTCCACCCTTCCTTTTCCTCTGTGACAAAGGGAGGGAGTCTGATCTGCGGGAGCCCAGAACTGGCTGGGGAGGCTTCATCCTTGTAATGAATTCTCTCTTGGCTAAAGGGGGAAAGTAAGAGCAACTGGTGAGTTAAGCCTTGCTTGACAAATGCTGCTCCTTCTCTGTTGCCTCTGAGATGGTCTTGTCCCAACAGCTCCTCTCCGCAGAAGCGCGTTCTTAGGAGGGGTCTCCCACATCCACCCCCTGGGTCTTTCTGCTCCAGAATTACCTCTCCTGGTTCCTTTTTTTCTCTGGGTCATGGAAATCTCGTGGCCCCACCCTGATTAGTAAAAGAGTGCAGCCGGTTGTCGGGTTTTGTTCCAGATACCTATGGCTGCTTGGGCTTCCCTCATTCCAAGGGGGCAGCGCTAGGGAAAAAATTATAGGCTCAGCAAGAAAGTTATTAAAGGAGAGCCAGGTGTCGGAAGGCTACCCTGACCTGTCCTAGCTCTTGCAGAATCCGCTGGGCGTGCAGTCGCCCAGACTGCATTCTCCCCTCCTTAAGGGGGTCACATGGTGGATTGTTTCAAGGAGCACTCAAGTCTATAGAGAGAGAACAAATCCCTTTTCAATTCCTTCACCTTAGGAACCATTTCCCCCTGGAGGGGTGGGGGTGGGGGGTGGGGAAGGGGAGAATGGCAAGAATGCTTTCGTCACCTATTATCAGGAAAATAGCTTTATTGGTTTGCAAAGGTTAATAGCGGTAACGCAGCGATGCATTAATCAAAAGGATTTTTTCCTAAACACTCCTCCAAGCTTTGCCTGCATAAGCTGTGGAAGCGTAAATTCATGGGCAGCTAGCTGTTCTGAAAGGAGCTCAGCTGTGGCCCCACACTCTCCCCGGTGGGCCCGAAGAAGGCAGGAGAAACAGCTTCCACCCACAGCCTGCCTCTTGACTCTTCCTGCAAGGAAGAAGGCATCACCCACAGCTTAGCTTGCTCCTTTGCCCAAGGATGCTGACCCTTCCTCCATCACTGGCATGACTGGGAGAAAATACAAATAACACTGCTGAATTTTTTGTAACAGGAAGCTACCATTGTCATGGCTTATAACTGTTACACAAAGCTATACACCTACCACCCCCTCAATTCATGGAAAAAGACTTTCCTTTGTATAGAATGTCTCCCAGTTCTGGAATTCCATCCTGGCATCTCACTCTTTTGGGACACCCCAATGCTTCTCTGTGTCGGCCACATCCAATTTTGAAGCCCTGCAAGGAGGAATGGCCGCATCCTGGTCCTCCAACCTGGGAATGGCCCAGTCTTGCACCTTCAAATCAGCATGTTTAAACTGGGCCAATGAATTCCTAGGTTGCTGAAGCTAGAAAAGGCCGGTAGAGTTCCCAGCCCTCTGCTGTCCATGATCTGCTTTGAAGTGGCCCTGCAAGAGAGAGGACCATGCCAGGATGAATCCATTGCATGAGCTCAGTTACTGCTTGTCCATCTCCTGGGCTCTTTAACCAACCCTTCCTGTCTTCAGTCATGAAGGGATTATCTTGGTCCTGAGTGGACTCTTAGATCTTTCCCCACTGTTTCTGTTTGTGTGGCCACTGTCATGTCCCCAGCAACTCTCTGGAGGCTCACCGCCTGCTGGTTCTGGGAATCCCACTTGGCTGCACATGTTTTCTTTAAGCCAAGCCTTTGCTGGAGCAGGAACTCCCAACTAGTTCGGGAACGGCCAGTTTAGGGCTTTTCAGCTTCTACATGTCTCCCTCTAGTTACCTGTCTGACCCCATATGTGGGGAGAACCATGCATCAGGTCCCCATCTTCCCTTGTACCCATTTTCCAACTCTCAGGCTGCCTGCCCTCCCGCCCCCCCGCCCCTTTTTTTTTTCTTCTTCTTCCCAAAGCATGAGCTCATCTTCTGGGAACACATGTTTTTTTTTTTAAATCCCTATTGTAGGACATTGCTAAATAGACCAACAGGCAAACAGGCCGGTGCCAATAGATTTCTCTGGAGCAGGAGGAAGAACAAGTGATCCGTCCCGGGCATGCTTTGCTGGCCTCAGTTCTTTGGGATGGGCCCGAAGTACTTGGGGGTCATCCCAGTCCTCTTATTTCCTTGGCTCCTAGGCCGGAAGGAATCGGTCTAGAGGTTGGCAGTTCTTCTTTCCCAGAGACAGTGAAGCCCCTCAGTCCCGCCCCTGTCCTTGGCCTTTAGAGTAGCATGTGGAGTCCCAGGCTTGGAAGGGGCCTTCGGCGTCTTCGGGTCCAATCCCTCCTTGAGCAGGAATTCTGTATTGGCCAGGGAAACCACTGAGCCCCTCTGAGCCCAAAGGCGCCTCAAGCTCGGAGCACTGGGGGGTGGGCGGAGGGAGCGGCCCTTTGATCCCAGAGCAGGTGTAGCAGGCCTGTCCATGGAGTTCTTTCATCTGCCAAGACCAGCGTGTACCCACCCACAGAGCGGGTACATTTCGGCCTCTTCAAAACCAGAGGCTAAATACAGGCTGTTGAGACCCAAAGAACAGCAGCTGCAAGCACCTTGTCATCCTTTTGGAAATCTCCCTGGCTGAAGAGAGGGCAAGGGACAGGGGTCTTATCATCTCTTGGAAGAGGTTGCCCCAGGTATCCTTGGTCGGTTCTGCCATCAATCCCCTTGTTCTGGGCTCCAACAGTTTGGGGGGGGTGTCTTTTTATTCCCTTACCAAGGACTTTCGGGTTTCTCCCAGAAACGGTGAGTGTTTTCCCCCACAGCACTGAGCTATGCCCTCCCCCACCCCTCAAATCCTGAAGTCCCACTTCCCACCCTGGGGCTGAATCCTATGGAATGGGAGGTGGGATGAAGACAGGATTTGAGAGGCGCACAGTAGAGGCTTGATGGGCACCTGTGACTCCTCCAAATGGGTTGCTCCTGTGCTGTGCAGTCATCAGGCACTTTGCTTGGTAGCAGGGAGACCTTCGGAGGAAACAGCCCCACGGGCCTTGAAGAAACTGCAGCCACCAGACAGTTGACATGCAACAGGACACCTCTGGCAGCGCCAAGCTGCACCGGGAAGAGACAGTAGGAGTGCTGAGGATGAAAGGAGGGTTGTGGGAGGACTAAATCTGTCTCTCTGCTTACCTATTCAGTGCATCCAGCAAGCGTTTTCATGGGGGGGGGCAGCCGCTGCTACACATAACCAGTCTGGCTGTAGGCACTGGCCTTTGGAGATGGCCGGGAGCTCCTGTCTGCCATGGTCTGAGAATGAGGAGGACGGTAGCAGGTTGCTTGAGAGTCCCGCGGTGGGCAGGAGGCACAGAGGATGGCACCGCCAGTGAAGGAGATCAAGGAAGACAGGATGCCCAAGTACAGGGCTTCCCCAATCTCATACTTCATGCTGTCGGGCACAAGGGGGTTGTAGAAGTCGCCGAGGATCACATGCATATTCCACACAACAGGGATGAAACTGAGCAATGCCCCCAGGACAAAAGTGACTCCTCCCAGAACCGCCACTTTGTCCTTTGCTGGGGAGCTCTGAGAGAAGATGGTGCATCTCATCCCTGCCACAGAGACAATGGCAGCCAGCGAACCTACAGCAATGGAGGTGGCCATCAAGGCTTGGGCCACCTGGAGGTCCGTAGGCAGGCTGAGCAGAGAGTTGTAGATGTCACATTGCGTGATGCCTGTGCTGTAGATTGCACACTCCATCCAGAGTCCTTTTGAGAAGCCAACCGCTGTGACGATGCTGGAGCCGATGTAGGAGCTGATCCGCCAGTTGGGCAGCAGGGTGGCTATCAGGGTGCCCAGCAAGCCCAGCAGCCCCAAAATGTAGCCAACCAGCTGGAGTCCCACGGATACCATGCTGGCTCTCCTGCTGTTGCTCGTCGGTGCCTCCTTGCTCTCTGTGCCCTTCTGCTCAAGAGTAGCAAATGTAGTGTAGAAGAGAGGGAGCTTGAAAGGAAATCATCCTGGATTAATTATTAGCTTCTGAAAAAATGCCAAGTGCCCTTTGTCCATCCCCTTATCTGTAGAAATTACGTCCTAAAACGTAAAAGAAAGAACTATCCGTTATGATAAATAGGGCAAAGGGAGGAACATCTGTTTTCACTAATAAAAATTCCGAGAGAAACTACTTGATGAGAAGCAACTGTTCATTTCTCAAAGGAAGCTCATAACAATTGTGGTCCGATTCCGATGAGAAGGTGACCCAGCCTGTCTATGGGTTGAAAGTATACAGGAGCGCATATACTCATTTGAATGAGACAGGTGGTACTTAAAGGTGATAAATAAAATAAAGCTTTGCTATGTATTTTGGACACTAGTATAGAAAAATAAAAAGTTTATCTTGATTTTTAAAAATCCTTTGCAAAAAGGAAGTCTGGAGGGAGAAGCCACTCTTGTCCTTGCTCACACTTGCAAGGGGCAGGAGGGGAGGGGGGACTAGCGCCCGCAGGCCCTGTCCCGAGGGCTGAGAGCCATTTCCCTCTTCGGTTCAGGCTAGGAGACAATCCCGCTCCTTACAAGGCATGTTTAACTGCTTCAGGACAGCCGGACCAGCGTTTTGGATAGAAGGGGAGGGGGCTTGGCTGTTTCCACACATCCTTTGCCCCCTCCTTATCCTAGCAGGCTTTCCCTTGCTAATTGCCCAACCTGGTGGAAACGGGGTTTGGCTTCCCTGCTTCTCTCTCACTGTAGCTCTGCCTGCCCTGATTGGCAGCAGAGTTGTTGGGGGGATGTGCATGTAAGTTTCCTCACAATGCCCAGATTTATTCTCTTCTGTTTGGTGCAAAAGAGACAGGAGGTTGGGTGGGTGGGTGGGTGGGTGGGTGGGGGACACAGTCTTTCCTGCGGCCCTGCAGCCCTCCTACAATACCATAAATACTTATATTTTGTAAGCTGCCTTGAGTCACTGTGGGCGAATAGGCGGCAATGTAAATTCAATCAATAAATACAGACAGACGGAAGGGAATATTTGTAGCTCAGAGTTGAACTGTGGGGGTTTTGGTGCTCTCTGAGCTTGGCGTTTTTCGTGCAGATGTTCATTATCAAACTAGGTAACAACATCAGTGCCTAATGACGTCACCTAGTTTGGCAATGAAACATCTGCCAGAAAACCACCAAGCTCGGAGAGCACCAAGATCCTCGCCTCTCACAGGCTTGGAAAGCAACTGACACACGGTCCTAGCATGATGGATAAGCAGCTGTCTTGCCTGGCCGCTTCCTTTGACTTCCGTGATATCCAGGAGGGGAATTCGGGGCAATGTAACCGCAATGTTGGAAACAGGCCAGGGCTTAGAGGAGAGAAATCGCGCAAGGGCTGGTCTCTCACCCCATACCCTCGTGGGTTGCCCCCACCCACAGGTGCTTCGGGAACCCAGTTTAGGCCTTGCTCACCTGAGCGAGGGTGGTGGCCTTTGGTCAGCTGGGTGACTATGGCCATCAGCCAGCACCACCAGGGAGCCAGGACTGGAGGAGGCAGAAGGGCGGTTGCTGACAGCCAAGGTTTCGGCCGAGCCACCTGCGGGCTTCTCTTCCACTGCTTGGCCAGGCTTCCAGGCGGGCAGGCGTGGGCTGCCATCGCACTCACCTCCCAAGAATATGAGGGTGCCTTTGCCCGACAGTAACAAGCGAAGCAGTCAGGCTCCTAACAGTTCTCCTTAGGGACGCCCCAGTGGCTCCCTCAACTCTCATAAGCTTCCGAGGGGGATCTCCCCAATCTTGCCGAGATGGGAACACGGCAGCCCCTGCCCTGGCCCCCAGCAACCTTGGCCCGGCTGGAGCCGTGGAAAGAGGGCAGATAGGCCCCAGGTTGGCATGAGCTCCGCCTAGCCCGTTGAAGACTTCCCAAGCCCTGGGGGAGCGGGCGGGGGAGAAGGGCTCACGGGCAGCCCGACCCCCCCCCCCCCCAGGAGGCACGAGCGGCTGCTTCAACGGAACCCTCCTCCTCTCTTCTCCCCGGCTTTGCCTGAAGGCGCCTTTTTTTACGGATTGGAGGCGCAGCGAAACTGCCTCCCCCGCCCCGTCCTCTTTCGCTTAATGGCCACAGGGGAGGGGGGCGGCCGCCCGGGAGCCGCCGAGGAAGCGCTTGGGAAAGGCTCTCTACGGAGCGGGACACCGCCTGAGCGAAGTCGGCGATGGGAAGCCCCGGCCCAGAGAGAGGGAAATGCCCCGGGGACTGGGACGGGGGCGCGCGCTCTCAGCCTCGAGTCGGTCCCCAAAGAGGTTCCGGCCCCCCTGGAGCACGCTTCCCAGAAGTCCACGCGAGAAGGAAAGGTACTGGCTTTCCCATTCGGAGCGTGGCTGGGCGGGCGATCCGCCTCCAGCCCCGCTCGCCGGACTGACGATCCGATCATGCAGCGAGGGGCCGGGGCGGGGGCGGGGGGCACACGTGCGTGCGAGCTCCGCCTCCGGGTCGTGGCTGGCTAGGCGCGCGGCAAGCCTTGGCGCCTCCGACGGGCCGCGACTAGCGGCTGACCCGCCGAGCTTCTGCAGGACTCCTCCGGCCGCCCCCGAGAGAAGCCAGGCGAGCAAAACGAGGTCTGGGAAGGTGGTTGCGGAGCAGGATCGTCTCGGAGAATTTAACGGAGGACGGGACGGAGTGGCCGCCTCGGCTTTGCGCCTCTCTCTCCTAGCACTGGCGGCGAGGCTGGCTCAGTTCTCGCGAAGGCGCTTTCGGGTGAGGGGCGCGCTCTGGCAGGCCCGTTCCCCGTGGCTGCTCCCGATGCCTGCAGGTGGCGCGCATGATGTCAGCAGCATCCTGTTCTCGCTGCATCCCGCACGCCGCTGTTGCCATGGCAACCTCTCCCCCGACGGCAGAGGTAAGGCACCGGACTCCTCACGGCCTTCGTGCGCTCGAGGAAGGGCTCTCCCTTTGGAAAATGCGGGAGGGAGTGTGTGTGTGGAACGGTTGCTGCGGCCGGCTCGCCTGGCGCTCGCTCCCACTGCAGAAACTCCTCCCCGACCCCGTCTCCCCGCGCGTGTTGAGGACCAGACCCCCGCTGGTCCTCATCCCCGGCAAAACTTCCAGCTCAGCGCTGGCACCTGCGAGTCCAACTGCGTGGGGGAAGCGGGGAGTGCCTGAGAGGTTGGGGGAGCGTTTGGCTCACCAGTTGCGATGCTTGAAACTGAAGTGCAGATCCTGTTTGGACCGTGGGGTTGCCACTCCCCTCCTTGCGCAGAAGCCCTGCATTGTGCAAGGTTGGGGGGGCGGGGGGCGGGGAGGGATTACGGCTTCTCTTCCATCATCTGATGTACAATTCCATATATGAAGGGACCTGCCTTCAGGGCTCCCTCCTTCCTCCGCGTTCCTGGCATGTACGCTGTCAGTGGCTGACCCTCAGCTTCTGAAGATACATTTCCATGACAGTTACCCTGTGTTAGTCTTATCTGGAGGAAGAAGGGCAGCTTCGGGATTGGCGTGGGCAGCTGAGTCTCAAGCACCTTCAAGGATGCAAGGGAAGAACGTGAGAATTAATAGGAGGATTTTTAACTGGTTTGCTCTCTTCCCAACAGTTGGCTGAGATCCTTAACTGATAGAGTGAAGACCTAACATGGCAAGTAGGTGAATTCTTTGCTGGAGGGATAGCATGTTTTCCATCCATCCTGGGGAGAAGGGGCTTAAAGGCCTCCTGTGCCACACGTGGCTGGCTGGGTTTCTTCTACATTCCTAAACTGGATTGAAAATGCAAGGAGAGGAAGGGGAGGAGGGCTGTTCTTAGGCTATTCAAATGGGGGAGGGGGAGTCTTGGGGATGTTTTGGCCCTAATTTGAGGTTACCTTTCCCAGGAGGTGCCTACTCCCCCTCACCTCTGGCATGTCTCCTCTAAGGGTAGGCTGGGTAGCCTTTCCAAATGCCACAGCCCACAACTGAGGCTGGTGGAGATTATTTTTAGCTGTTCCAGTATTAAGGCAGTGTTTTCCCTCTTGGCATCAAAGCGGTTTATGACATGGTTAAGTGAATTGGGCTACCAGCCCAAATGAGCCCAGTCTTGCCCATCCCAGGTTAAGGAGCGGTACCTGCTTCTTCTGCCACTGGAGATTTCGGTGGGAGGGGCTTGCCTGATCTTGCTCTGCAATAAAGCAGCAAGACCTCTACCATGGAAGAAGAATGGGAACTGGCAGACATTGCGGCCAATTCTCAGCCTGTTAAGGTGATGACGTTGGTGCCTGTCTTCCAGCCTTCCTCACAGCCCCGAAAGCCCATTCTGTCCTGAAGCGCTTTCCACGGGCCAATGGCTTTCTGGAAGAATTTCGCCAGGGCACCATTGAGCGCGAGTGCGTGGAGGAGGTCTGCAGCTATGAGGAAGTCAAGGAGGTCTTTGAGAACAAGGAGAAGACGGTAGGTGGGTCTGGGAGGGAACAGTGGGGGGGGGGGGCATCCCTTGTCTTTCACCCACGAACTCCCTTTTCCCACTTGGATCTCAAGATGTGGATAAGAATCCATCTGGATGAGGGCTTCAGCTGTTAAGGGGGGAAGGGGCATGTTAATTTCAGGTGCTCAGCATAACATCTGTTCCGTTTGTTCCAAGGGTCGGGCTTATTATTCACTGCTCAAGAAATAAGAGGCTCCCTGGTGTAAAAGAGTGAAGAGTGGGCAGGTGGCAAGAGAATGAATTTTGCAGGAGGAAAGCAAAATGGGCAAATAGTTGGGGGCTTGGAAAACAAAGAAGCTGTGCACCAACTAAAGCCCAAAGAAAAAGCGTGCACTTTAAGTCAGAGGAATAAGTACATTGGTAGTCTTGTTTTGGCGACTTCTCCAGGCAGCAGGGCCATTCGCACTGCCTCCTAGTGAGGGAACTGAGGGATTGCACATGAGGTGCTCCTGGCACATGGCCCAAATCCTTAGGCACCATTGAGCTAACTCCTTTGGGGAGGGGGGGAGGGGGGGCAGGGCGGGAAGGTGGATGGTTGCTGACTGGTGTCTCCCATTCCTGGCAGATGGAGTTCTGGAAGGGCTATGCCTACTCTGTCAAAGATGCCTCTGACGGGACAGACCGCTCCGATGCCATGTACGTCGTGGTGCCCCTACTAGGCGTGGCGTTGCTCATTGTCATTGGTCTCTTCATCATCTGGCGCTGCCAGCTGCAAAAAGTCACACACCACCGCCCCTCATACCCCCAAAATAGGGGCCTGGCCAGCCGAGCAGCTCGCAGCTTGCCCAGGGTGAGGGTGCACCGCGAGGCTCCTCCCAGCCAGAGCGAAGCCCTCTGCCAGCAGGACCCAAGTGGCGAGCGGGGGCCAGGGTCTCCCAGTCAGCTGGCCAGGACGCTTCTTGAGCCTGACCACATGGCTCCCCCCCTGTCTAGACTGTGTAGTGCCACTCCTCCTCCCTCCTACGAAGAAGTGACGGGGCAGCCTGACTGTGGTGGCAGCAGTGGCGCAGAGGAGCCCAACGTGTCCTACAGTGACCCACCTCCCAAATATGAGGAGATTATGAATCCCTTTCACGCTCCTGGGAAGTAGTGGGCAGGTGATGCCATCACAGAACAGCCTTATCCTCCACCCTCACCAAGTGCTCCATAGGTGGCTGGCACATTCACCCCCTTCACTCCTTTGGTTGGGCTGTTGCAGGATCCTCAACTGGAACATTTCTGGTGGCAGGGATGTGGTAGAAGGCATGGCTGAATTGTGCCCCAGGGGTCCCTTTACAGGAAGACGGCTGAACCGCACTTTGGGTGGCCTCCCAGGGAAGAGGCCGGGCCCTACTGCAATTTGGGGGGGGGGGGCATTCAGCACCTTTGATGTTGACCCTTTTGGCAAGAGGTTGGTTGGCTGCTGATGGTGAATCAGGTGGGTTGGGGGTTTTACCACTCTTTCTACCTACCTGGGATGGTGCTGAGGAGGAGGAGGGCAGATACGGGGTGTATCTGACATGGGAAAATGCCAGTTCTTTTCTGTTCTGCTCACTTTATCTTTCTACCCAACACTGCTTTGTTCAACCAAGGGAGGGGAAGAAAGCCCACCTCTGTGTTTGCTCTCCCTGTGGAATGCTGCCTTTGTCTATGGATTAAGCCTTGATGTGAGGCCTCCTTCTCCCAAGAGAAGTAGCCCAAGGCAAAAGTGAATGATTGTGATCACAAAGCCAATGCATTGGCGACTGCCATTTTCTGAGGTACCTGTTGCACTGGAAGGGTGGGTGCCTGTGTCTGGGCATGTAATCTCTAGGTGCATATGAAAGGCAGAGGAGAAGGACTGAGCCCCTCCCTCCGTGAAACACACCACCACATTTTCTCGCCCTTCAGGCTTATCCCACTGGCCCAATCTGTGTCTTCCTCTCCTTGAGCCTGTCCAAAGGTGGACCTTGGGAGCAACACGCTGCCAAAGATGATTCTGGACGGGGACCCCCTTCTCCTGCAACCGCACTTCCTCCTCTGGTGGGATACATGCCCAGCCCCTGGGTCAGCTGCACTGGACTCCTGCCCTGACAGTCCACTTTCCCTTAGGCCCTTTCCCTGCTGAATGGAGCGGGGTCAACGTGTTCCTCCTGCCCTCAGTGCTCTGGGTCTCCCCTCACCCGGCAGCCCCCTTCCTTTCACCGGGATTCCCAGAAAATGTCTCCTTGCCAGAAGGAACAGCTGCTGCTGCTGCTGCTGCTGCTGCTGCTCAGTGTTTTCACTCCCCCAGACAAAGACGACACCCCCTCTCTTTCTCAATGGTGCTAATGCATAGCCAGGTGTTCTCTCCTTGTGTGACACTCTGTATGCTGCTTTACTGTATTTATACATTTTGTTTAAACTGAAAAAAACTTCATTTCTCATGGGTAGCAGATTGTTTTTTGCACTGTTATCAAAACCAGATCATGGTCAGCCATGAATTTAGATGTGGGCAGAGGCAAAGGGTAAAACCAAAAAGACGACACCGAACATTGTAAGTCCAGCAACTCTCCTTCTCGCTTCACTGCCCGCTTTACAGGGAGATTTTACCCCTCTCGTAAGAAAGAGAGCTGCCTCCCAATCTGGTATCAACCCCCCTGTTTCCAGGGAGACTGGTGGCTGTGGCAAGTTGTCCCATTCAGGGTCCAGGGAACCTGGAACAGGCAGATGGGTCTCGGGGTCACCAGCGAAGAGAAGTTGGCATTTTCCATGTGAAGCCTTGGAGGAATCTTTTCTGAAGCTCCAATCTGCCCACCAGCGGAACAGCCCTCCCTTCAGGATGGAACTGCCCAAGCTTTGTCCCTGGTAGAAGATCCAAGGGCTTTGTGGCAGCAGGTGATGTTATGGTTTTGCCCACAGAAATGGTTTGTGCCATGGACATATTTAAAGGCCACGTCTGCTTGTCACAGTCTGCTCCAATTGCTGTATTTCTAGGTCTGTTAGCCTTCTCCAGCCTGGCTCTCCGTGCTCCATGAGCTGGATTGTGTGCCACATGTTGGGGTGTCTGTGTGTGCGCGCGCACATGCTAATATTGTACTTTTCCAGCTTATGGTGGCTAACAGACAATCAGGGTTGGAAGGGACCTTGTAGGTCATCTTATCCAACCCCCCGCCCAAGTGGGAGTGACAAATGGCAGGATGTCAGGTGGGAGAAGCCCTTCCCATGAGGAAGGTAGACTGAAGGCAGCAATCGGGCTGCCGGGGCCAGATTGCCTCTCAAACGCCTGGATTATATGCTGAGCTCTTCCGGAGAGCAAAGCCTGACGAGACTGGGTACCGGCACCCAAGCCTCTTTCGGGCACCTTGGTTGGAAGCTGCTTTAGAGAAGCGGGAGGCGGGCTGGAGAGGAGCCCTTGGCCGTGGCAGGCAGGGAACCCTGGGGCCTTTCTCGCAGAGGATGGTGGGTGGTGCAGCCCCAGGGTGGGAGGGAGTACCAGGCTCTGCGGATGGGAGCTGCCGCCAGTTCCCTTTCGGGTCAACTCGCAAGAGGGAAGCTGGAGCCTCCGGGCGCCAGGTCAGGTCACAGGCTGGCTGGGATTTGGCGCCTTCGGCCAAGCACACGAGCACTCCGCGAGCCGAAGCTGGGGGGCGGGCCACGGCAGGCCAATTGTGGGCCGAGGCCGCTGACAACCGCTGCAGGGTTGACCGGCAGGTCCTGAAGTCAGGCCAAGGGAAAAGGAAGCGCCCGTGGTGGGACAGAGCCAGGCGGGCCTTGAGCCGTCCACTGCTTTTGTCCTCCTTGCCCTTCCCGGCCTCCTCCTGCTGCTTTGTAGGATTCTCTGCCTGGTGCAGAATCATTCAAGCGCCCCTGTGACCCAAAAGACACCATGAGTAGCTGTGGGTGTCCACGTGCGCATGCAAGACTCAGGCCCGTTCTTTGGGCGCTGGTGGTCAACAGCCAGCCATGGGGAAAGGAGAGTCGATAGAACTCCCTCCCAACAGCCCTAGGAAGCTTTTTTTTTTCTGGGGCTGATGGGGTCACCTTCCTTCCCACCCACCCCTAGAAATGAAGTCTCTCTCTTCCCAACCTCCTGGGGCACAGCAGCAGCCTTGACCTTTCCTGGAACCAACCATCCCTAAACCAGCCTATGGCTGACACAAGTTCCTCAGCTTTGCCTTCCAGCCTGGACCTCAAAAGAAGAAGCAACTGGGACTGAATGAAGAATATGCCCTAGTGGCAAACCAAAAGGCCAGGGAGGGGTAGATGACAGAGAGGTCTCCGGTCCCCCCAGAGGGGGAGGTGCTGTTTGGAACCAAATTGCCTTTGGTCAGTCAGTTCTGGGCCAAAGCTGGGCGTGGGTGCAGAGACAGGAACAGAAGGGGTTTTCCAGGACTTTAGCCACGTCTGGCATCTTTGCTATGGGTTGAATCCAGAGGTATCTGGTGAAGAGCTATGGAGGGTGCTTTGTCCTCGCCACCTTTGGGAGAATAGAGGTGGGTTGCTGCGGAGGGGGGAGAACAAGAGAAGAGAAGAATGACGAAAGCCCCCTTCCCATATGAGTACAATGCTTCCTGGCTTGAGGTCCCCTTTCCCAGTCTTTGGGTTGCATCAGGCAATCCACATTGGACAGAGCAAGGAAGACCATGCCGGGTCACCATTGAACCAGTCTCAAATGCCCAGGAGCTGGTTTTCCTGCTCCTCAGCAGCCAAAGTGACAGCATATTCAAGGTAGCTCAGATAATGTGTTCTTGCAGTGACTGAGGCCTGCTGGTGGCCAGTTCCTTTAGGCTCAATGGAGATTGTGGTGATAACATACATCTGTGTGCACGAGCGAGCAGGACGTGCCCATGGAGATGTGTCATGTTTAATTCTAAGCCAATCACTTTGCTTGTGCTGGGAGGGGCAGGCCAATGTTCTCTGGCAGATGCTGCTGGCCTAGTGCAGCATCTCTTGCTATGCCAGGGAGCCATGTGGGCTATTGACCAAGGTCCCTGTTACTTTCCCAGAGGGTCTCTGGGAGGAAGGTCTGCCCATTTGCAGGGCAGGCCTTTGATGCCACCGCAGAAGTGGCTGGGCAGCCCAGGTTCCCTTCCTTTGCATCTTGTGCCCAACAGATATTTGCGGATACCATCTGGGAAGAGGGACTGTCCAACTAGGCCCCTCAGGTGGCAGTGGAGAGGATCAGGCAGAGGCAGAGCAGGTAAGAAAAAGGATGCCCACCTGGGAGAAGAAATTTCAGCTCTAAGGTAAAGGATCCCTCTACCGGAGGCAGTACCAGCTGCATGGGTGGGGCAGTGGGTAAGCAAGGCAAAGTAACCCCCAGAGTCATTTACGGCCTCCCCGTCTAGCTAACTAAGGTGGCATTGATGTCTCCCCTTTCCAATAGCCTGGAAGATTCCAAGTCACAAAAAAGGGAGTTCTTTTGGCTGAAGTTTAGGAACTGTCATGAGAAGAGGAGGCTGTTCTTCTTAGGAGATTTTTATAAACAGAAGCTAGACGGCCCCTCATTGGCCACGGCTGGGGCATAACCTGGAGGCTTCCAAGTGGCACCTGATGTTGTTTCTGGGCTGCTGGGTTGAGTTGTCACAGCAGACCATCATCTGTCTCAGCTGGTTTGATGTGCATTCCGTTCACTGGGAATTTGGAAAGGCAAAGCATGCAAGCAGGGACCAGTGTTGGCGTCTTTCTCTTTCTTTTGGCCAATCCTTCCCCTTCTTTGAAGAGGCTTCTTCATGGCTGAGCTTGTGGGGAGATAGGCCTGTCCTCCCTCTGAGCAAGCAGGAGCTTGCCAAGCTTTCAGCTCTGCCTCTGTCTCTGTGCCCCATGCAGGCTGGAGTCAGGCCTTCTGCACCCATGTCCCAGCTGCCCAGCTTTCTTTGAGGAGGGCAGGATCTATTCCTCCAGGAACATCCTCCGAGGGCTGCACTTCCTGGGGCTCCAGCTGTTCCAGCTGCTGTGGGGGCCCAGACGGGTCCAAATCAGGTATGACCAACCACCCCATGGAACTCTGTGGGTCATGTTTTCCAGGGGGTGCAGCCACATCCCCAAGGTTGACCAGTCTTGCTGGGGCCTCTTTCACCAGCCTGCTCCCACCACTGTTTATGGCTCTGTTCTGCTTGCCAGCTTTTTCAGTATGGACTAGCCCTGATCTGTCTTCACCTCCTCCCTTTAGTGCCTGGGGGTGAACTTGGTCTCAGATGGATCCCTGGAGGAGTCTGGCATCCTGGAGATTAGGGCGATGATGGAGCAGGTAAGGTGGGAGGGCCACCAAAATGGATCTTCCCTTGTAAAGCATTGAAATGCCGTGACAGCTTTGTCCCCTCAGCCTGGGATGTGCACAGAGGTGGTATTCAGCCAGTTCTGACCAATTCTGGAGAACTGGTAGCGGAAATTTTGAGTAGTTCAGAGAACTGGCAAATACCACCCCGACTGCCCCTGCCCCTCTCTATTCTCTGCCTCCCATTGAGTCCCAGCTGATCGGCTGGGTCTCCTTTTGTTGTCCTGCACAGGAGAACGGAGCTGGAGAGCAAGTCAGTGGGATGGGGAGGGAATGGGGATTTTGCAGCACTCTTCCCCTGCCACGCCCACCAAGCAATGCCACACCCACCAAGCCCACAGAACCAGTAGTAAAAAAAAGTTGAATCCCACCACTGGATGCATAGCAATGCCCAGGTCACTTTGTCCTCTTTCCCTCTGCTGTTTGAAACGCAGCTGGCTGATCTTTCTGGGCAACTGTGTGCACTGGAAGAGCAAAGTGGGAGTTGGCACAAGAAAGAGCTGTTCCTTTACTCCATGTTGGCCTCTGCCTGGCTCTTTAACATATGGCTGTGTTATGTCTCACCTGTATCCACAGGCGAGAATACACAGTTCCAGAGTTCAAAATATTCAAGCAAAACAAAACCATATCCAAAAGAGTTAACTGCTCTGTTTTCACAGTCCTTAGCAGTCTTCCTGGAATCTGTCTGGCAAATCTGAATTGTTCATAAATCACGACGGCCACTTCAAACGTATTCTTCCGAATCCAAAAACCACTAAAAATCCACTTAGCTTCGAGCGGGGGAGAGGCATTAGCACGCTCCTTATATATCCCCTGAAGGGGCATGTCAGTCTCATTAATTAATCCTTGGCTGGACGTCTCTTTTCTAATTGAGATTGATGTCTCAATCTTCTCCTAGTCCTATCATCCAGCCAGCATCCGGCAGTTTCATCACTACTTGAAGCCTCTGGCACACTTTCCTGATTAACAGTTAACACCTGAGGTGCAATCAGGGAGGGAGTTCCAGAAGAGGAAGACGCCTCTGAAACTTCTAATAAATCAGGCTCATCTCTCAGATTCAACTCCTCCTCTTCCCCCAGACTCCTCTCAATGTTGCTCAGCAATGCAGGCTCGAATCTCAATGCCAGATCTTCCTCCTCACTCGAGCCTACATCTGCTGACTGACCTGGTTCAAATCTTGGGGGCACATGTCTGTGGCTCAGTAGATGACTTGCCCATGACAGCCACAAGAGGAAAATGATGTGGTTAGCTGCAAGACTTGCAACCAGCCAAGTGGGGGCGGGGGGGGGGGAAATGGGACATTGAGTGTTCCTGGTCTCTAGTGGCCAGAAGGGTAGGAGGAGAGAGGAAAGGCTGCCCCTCCAGCCTTCAGTTTCTTTTTTAATGTTCCTGCTGTAAGCTATTGCCAGGTTTCATCTTTATTATTATTGTTATTCCCTGCAATGCCCCTCTTGGGTCGTCGAGGGAGAAAACGTCTCCTTTCCCATTTTCATAGTCTTTCCTAGGGGATGGGGTGAGTGTGCAAGTGGCATTGAGTTGCCCTCTCTTCCACTCTTCTCCAGTCCAAGTTAGAGGATAATGTGGAGGTGCTGTGCATGTAAGAGCATGATAACATTGGAATTCTGATTTTTAGAGGGCTCTGCATATATCCCTGCTGGCCTCTTTTCACATTCTCCCCATTTTTATTTCTTGTGGACTTAGCAGAAAGTAATGAAGATCGTCTCGATAGACTCCAGTATCACGGCTGGGAAGGGTGAACTAAACCTTAAGCCCACAGCTGACAGAGAACATGCAGGAGGGGCTCAGACAGAAACCTCCCTTGGTCACAAGAACGTAAGAAGGCCGAGGAAGACTGTGGTTATAGTCACTCTCAATAAAAAAAAATAGTTTTAGCCTTACTGTGGAGCTGATTTCTGGATCTGCTCTACCTGGTGGGGCTGCAGCATGGTTTCAGGGTCTAATTTGTATATAATTTTGGGGAACTTTTTATTCATGATAGCTGCAGCAAGATTATTGTATGTGCAAAGATGAAAAGATTCGGCACTGCCCATCACGGAAGAACGGTTGGTGAAGATGATGGAATTTGCTGCAATGGCTAAATTTACTTCTTTGATCAGAGAAAAAAACAATATCTACATTTATTACTGACTGGAAACGTCTTATAGACATTTTGTGAGAAACAGAAAAAAATGAACTCATGATATGTGGTTTGGATGATTAGACTGAATAGATTGTAGAAAGAAGATACATGTTATAACCATAGAGTAAAATTTCTAATTGTACTTATAGCTTCTATAAAAGAAGATTGTAAGCTACTTCTTTGTGTCTTTTTTCTTCCTTTTCTGTTTTACTGTTACATTTCTGTTGCATTGACAAGCTTGGCAGGGCCAGGGATCTGCCCAGGCCATGTTAGAAACTTTTGGCTGCTTCCAGCATTTCATAACTCCTCTCTGGTTAGCATCCACCTCCTCTCTGGTCTGTGGACATTGTGCTATCAGGAGAAAAACAATCATAACAACCTCACTAGTAGGGCTGAAGGCCTGGATCTTGTAATGCAATTTCCTGCTCAACCCATGGATGGGGCTCCCTCCTGTAGAAAGCTCTGCTGTAGCAGCCTGGCAGGGCTTCCATGTCAAGATCTGACAAGAAGATCAGCTCAGGATCCCTGGAGCAGGGCTTGCACTAGCTCTGCCAGCTCTGTCAACCCTCCACTCCAGCCATCTCCACCCGCAGCTGCAGCAAGTTGTTATGGGGAGCAGCTAGGGGGTCTTCTTCTCACTTGCCGGGGGGAGGGGGGGAGATGGGCATCTTGCACTGCTGCACTTTAGCTTCTCACCCAATAAACGATCAGAGTGATGTCCTTCTCCAGCCTTGCTGCCAAGAGAGAGCAGAGAGCTGCTTTGTAAGTTGAGCAAATCCCAGCATATAATTTTGTGCCATCCCACAGAAGAAGAAAAAAACAGCTCTCTGAATGCACCTGGATGTGACTTGTTGCATTCTTGCTGGAGAAACCTTTTGGCTGTTGTCACGCCCTTTCCTCTGCCATTCACTTCTCACCGCCCCTTTCTCCAGGGAAAAGATTGTTGTATCTTTGTTAAGTGTGTTTTGCATCCTTGGTGCACTAGGGAGCCTGTGTCAGAGGATGTTGGTGGCTGGCGTGGCAGTTGCTGCCTCGAGCCTTGCCTCCCCCCCCCCCCAGATCTTCTGATTTTGAAGCTTTATCCTGGAAAGTCATGTTCCTCCCAAAGTTCTCCTTCACAGGACTTCCAACTCAAGTTTCTAATTTGGAAAAAGTATAGTTTTGCAAAAATGTGGCCTTATTTATGGGTGCGACCAATAGCCACAAATTCTGTATTTGCTCCCTGCTTAGAGGGTGTCTTATGTAGACAGAAGTTTTCAAGTTCAGCCTTGGCATTTCTCCAGTTTGAGAGGGGATCATTTTCCAGGTGGTGGGAAGACTGTCTTACTGTCTGCAGCCAGGCACGTACAAGTGGGAGAGATGAAGACGCAATTCACTTGTTGAGTTTGCATCCGAGATAATTTGATTGAGTGACATCCATTGGCCTTTTCCAACACGTTTTGACTTTCTTGCCCACCAGCTCAATAGAAAGGCCCCAGTTCTAAAGGAAAAAAGCAGCAAACCTGTTAGCTCGAAGCAATCTGTGTTGGTGCTGGAGGTAACCTTGGCAAGCAGCCTAGTCCCTGAGCAGCAGAAAGTAGTAGAAAAAGCGGGCTCCTTTGGGCTTGGCTCCCACACCAAGCAAGCCAGAGGAAGGGCTCGACAGCAGGCAGGTGGTTCTTCCAAGCCAGTGGCAGGAGTGGGCGTTGAAGGGCATTTGGCTCAGCATTGTCAGCAGGGTTGAGAACTTCAAAAAGAGGTTCGAACAAATGCTGTCTGGGTAGGCAGCTCCTGGGTCCTTCTTTCACTCTACTTTTCTCGAGCAACAGGCTGAACAAGTGGGTCGCCTAGCACCATCCCAGCCTACAAAGGACCTCCTAGTTCCTTGGAACACCTGGAAATCCTTTGAACCAGCGAGTCAGGGGCCCAACTGCAATGCCCAGCAACACTGCAAAGGGTGCCTGAGGGCCGGAGAGAGGGTGCTCAGCACAGACCGCAGGATCACCTGGAAGCAGAAGCAGCAGCAGCTGCTCCTGCAGGCCTGCCAACCTCCGGTGCAGTCACCTGCCTCTGACACGGCCGTGGCAGAGCACCGACTAGTGAGTAGCAGGGGAAGGGCCGGCTAAGCCTACTGAGCTGGAGGAAGGGTTAGGTTGTGGGGCCTGGAGGAACAAACTTTCATGGGGCTAAAGATAGCGGGCAGCAGCCCTCCTGCAGCTTCTTTCCCTGGCAAAGAAATCCCTTATTTCAGTTGCAGTTGCTGGAAGGCTAAACTAAGGGCACTTGGGAAATGCTTTGCCATCAAACGGGAACAAACATTGACATGTGTGCCAATCTGCAGGGTGGCAGCCAAGCGGGCAGGCTGTTTTGGTTGTCCAGAGCCTCAAGTGTGACAGAGATAACAGGTGTCAGAGAACTTAGGAATAAGCACTGATCAATAACAAGACCTGAGGTCAGTAATACAAACACATTGCACTGGGTATAGTTCTGAGATGCCTCTTCTATTGTTCCAACGGCCTCTTTCTTTTTCTTCAACTGACTTTTGTAACTGCTCCGGAATGACAGCAACTGTCTGTTACGCACAGCCCGGTGGCTCTTTCTCTGGCACAGCTGAGCTGGCTTCTTCCTTTTACCCAGTTTGCTTGCTTGCTGCTGAGCCTGGGGGCTGCTTGCCCTGGGTCCCCTCCTTTGACCCCCTACTCCCCGCACCCCAGTAGGCTGAATTCAGAGGGCAGAACGGAAGAAGTGTCTGTGTGTTTTTGCAGATGCTCAGCCAGGGTAATGACTAAAAAAAAGAGAAGAAACCGGGATAGTTCCCTTCTGAATTGCCTACCACGCTTGGCACTTCTTCTGA